GCCAGTGTGGACAAGTCACTATTTATTTAAATCAATATGCACCCAAACCAGCATAAAACTAGCACTGTATGATGCAGGGCTGCCCTCTGGGCATTTCCCATCTTGACCTAGTCATGAATGTTCGAGAGTCTGAGGACTGCAGTGTCCTACCAGCCTCACTGATCATAATAGTGTGAGTACAGCCCAGCCTAGCCCACCACGTTCTCCTTTGCTGCACCTCAACTGCACCCTGATCAAAAAGTGCCTTCCCACTTTATGCTTCTTGAGGGCAGTGACGGGATGGGACCTCGAGTGATGGTGGCTCCTTGCATGCTCAGAGGAAGTCTCTCAGTTTACTTCAACCAAACAGGGACTTCCTAAAACTGTTGTGCTCCTATTCAGGTTTGGGATCACCACATAAAGGGTATGACTGTACTATGAGGTTGAGGAGTTGGAAGATGACATTTTGACCAAATTTAGGACAAAGAGATTGTACTCTGAATTGGTTTTATGCAGTCACAGGGGGGTTTGCTGTGTGCCTTTACTGGCTTTCAAAGCTGGTTTTCTTTGTAGGCCCCCAGCAAGATGCTGGAAAGCAGCACAAATATGCTCCAGAAGACACTATTTCTAAAGAGAAGTCAAAGTCCATTGTGTCACAGCAGAGCTTGTTGCCAAGTATCAAGAAATTAAAGCGAGGATGAAATCTGCATCCCAGTGGAGAGCAGAGCTGACCACCAAGCACATCAAGACATAGGCATCCTTCTCCACTGTACTAGGAGAGGTGAGCCCTGGCATCAGGGTTTAGTCCTGCTTCATTCCCTTCTAAGTCTCTTCTGGCTGTTCATGGGTAGTCTTTGCACGTTCCCACACATTGCAATCAGTAGGAGATTTAAGCAACAGGCATAGTCCATTAGAGCAGGGGAATTGCTGCAAATTGTATTCTTTCTCCAGGGAATAGTAGTGTGCTCACTGCCTCTCTATGGGACATCCCACATGCAGTGACAGGAGTGACTTTCATAATTTACCATGACATGTGAGTCAGTGCTGCAGCCTGCATGGACTGCAGCCTAGGTCTTTGCCCATGCTGTAAAATCCTTCAAGTTCAATTTAGCAATGGCACTGAGGTCAGTTATTACATGAACATCTTCCCCTGTGCTCCATTCCCAGCGTGAACCCTTCAATTGTTTGGGACTTGATCTGATGGAGATAACACATCTACACAGGGCATATCTGGCAGTTTACCAAGCCCCTGTGTGGGGTGTCTCATCCACCTGTTAAATGCAGCATTTAATTTCTTTTCTGCCAGAATGTGAGTCAAACTTTTAATTTTCAGAAGCTTTTTTAAGACCAATGGGAAAAGAGGAAATGAGGCAGCACAAACTGCCAAGCAGAAGTAGAATCAAATGAAATGACAGAGGGGTAGAAAAATAAACTTGTAGCAGAGCTGAAAAATTGAGAGTCAGGTAAGGCCTAAGCTCCCCCTGCCACAATATCAGACTAGTACATCTCCATTGTTCCGTCTATTCTGTTAGTAAAATAAATTAGCACAAAAGTACAGTATTGATGATAGGAACAAGGTACTAAAAGGGACTCACTGCATCTTTAAGTAGTGTGCCCTGCTGTTGTTAGTAAACATTTGTACAATCCTCATTCAGATTATAATGAGAGCCATCAAAAAGGAGCAAGGAAATACCGGCTAAAAACAGTAAGGGGGTTTAAGAACTGCTTAGCTGGACAAAATGCTGTTTTAAAGCCAAAGAGGACTCAAAATCTGGGAGCTTGAGTTCCTTCTGCAGTCAGTGGGAATTAGCCTGTGTTATCTAGCCTGTTCATCAATAAAGCAGCTGTGTAAAAAATGTGGACGATGGAGCATTGCCTCCCCTCCTCTAGTCGTGATTAAAATACAGTGCCTCTTGACCAGGGTCAGAAGCCCTTCAGGTTTAAATTCCAGGACATCAGTCAGTGATCAGCCACTTTTGATGCAGGTCAGAGATGAGCAAAGAATGAAGCTGCTCAGCCTGAGCAGTGCTGGGCATGTGGTGATGCAAAGCCTGAAGCAACCAGGAGGCTCTCAATGCCTATGGCAGTGTGCTAAGTGATTTAGGCACCTCCAGCATTAGAGGCCTTTCAAGAAGCTGCAACTTGCAAAAACAGTGTGCCAAGGGATGGTGTCCAACATGGCTGTAGCCCCAGCTCCTGTTAAACCCAGGAATATATTGTTCAAGACCTCTTTCCACTGATTACATGCTTTCTTCTAATTGACTCATGGCCCTTTATTTCTTTTGCTGCCAACTCTCTCCTTTAGTTTAACTGGCTCTTGGTCCTCCCTAATGTTATGCCCTTGCTTTATTTATAGAAAGCACTGGTATCCACTCTGGGATACTTTCTCACTAGCAGTGAGCCAGCCAAGTTCCCGTTGTCCCAGACTCAGCTCCCCTGCTCTGCTCAACTCTCCCTGCTGCACCTGTGTGGTCTGAGTCTGCCTTTCAGGAACACTGCATGCAGTAATTGGGAGTAGATCTCATTAAAGTCTAGTACCATGGGACATTTATACTTGCTATTATTAAGTATTATGATTATTAGCATTTCTATTCTTTCAGGAGACCACTGGGAGGCTGAACTGTCAGAACTGCTGGATTTCCCTGTCAAGGGATAGTTGTTTTATATACTTCTCCAACATCATGGAAATCAACCTCATGAGGCATAACACAATTAAAAGCTCCTTTGACACCAAAAGATTCCTTTAACAACATACTTATTTCTTACTGTTTGAACTAGCTCTTCTAAACTAGTCATGAGTTTCTTCATTTTCTTTTCAGCCAGCAAAGGTAGAGAGAAAAGTTGCTAAATATGAAGTATTTGATGGTTTCCTGCTGAAAACCAGTGACAAATTGCCTGATGGTGTTAATCTATGGCACCTGCTGTTTCCTTTACTGTAGTAACTGACACTGCCTCCCTTTGCTCCTGAGCTGGGCCCAGTACACACGGTCACCAGCACTCAGCTGTGCAGAGGTGCAGCTGGCACCTGATGGCAGGTCACACAGACTGGGGCTGAGCCTGTGTGCCTGGTCAGCACTGTCCAGTGGTAGGCAGAGGAGGAGGGAGCCAGATCTCTTCTATAATATCTGCATCCCAGTTTGACCCTGGGATCTGCATAGCCTTATGGCTGGGAACTAGGAGCACAGACTCCTCCAGGTGATATCAAGGGACAAAATTCTTCCACTTACCAATCAATATAACTGTGCCTGTAAAGAAAGTAAGTCAGGACTGCGTAGTGCAGCTTAGCAGCATCATCATGTTTAATTGATGGGTTTGTCTGCTTGGGCATTGGGTTAGGCCAAGATGATGTGAAGTTGCTGAAAGGATTCACAAAGTATACAGTTAATTTCTGCCTTGCTGAGCTTGCTATTGAAGATGGGGTCTAAAGCATGCCTCTTGTACAGGAAGCTCTGAGACCTGCAAACACCATGTACCACAGATAGCAGGTCTGCTGAGCCTGCAGAAGAGGGCTGTGATACTTGGATGGCTCCTGCATTATCACTGCAAGCACAGACTGGACTGAAAGTAACTACAAGCATCCTGAGCCTCCTGAGCCCCGTTCCCCATTTCCATCATCAGCTGCTAGCTCTGTTTTGCTCCTGGCTCCACACAACCATACAACACTCAGGTGGAGCCAATCTGAAGAAACCTGTCTGGACAAATTGCAACCTACTGGCCTTGCTTAGTGCTTTTCTCATTTGGGGTTTGACTAGGGTTGAATTACCCCCCTCCCAATGACTGTGGATCTTGCCCTGAAATGGCTCCACAGCACATGCTTGCGTGGGAGAAATGTTAAGGGGAAACAATTCTGAACTTCTGCTTTCACCCTTTTGTGAGTGACACAGTCTGTATTTCTTCACTTCTTTATTAGAGGATTAGAGTTGTAGTAGAAGAGGCTCCAGACTGTTTTATAGCTCAATATTTTTTAGCAAACTGGTTGTGACCCCTGTAGCCCCATGCAAGACAAGCAAGAGGACTGTAATATGTTGAAACTTTTATTACACTATAAAATGAATACAGTCCTGCTCCCTGACCCTGCCCCCCTCTCATGTCTAAGGTCAACTATGCTCTGCCAGCTTCTCCAAACAAGCAAATCAGTCCAACAAGCTTTGATACTTTTTTCTCTTGCTTTTATAAAAAATATAGTGGGGTCAAAGGAATATTTGTGTTAGAATGAGGGGGGCTAGCATCCAGTGGAGGTTGTTAAACATAGATCCAGCTTGCAGAAGGCTCATTTGGTATAGATAAACCCATTCGTGTTTTAATTTAAACACTTAGGTGATTTTCTTTTAAGTAAATCACTCTTGGTTTGTTTACATACAGATGAAGGATCTGTTTATCATTACCAAAAACTCTAATCCTGCTGAGTTACACATATCTTAGAGATGATGCATTAAATGCATTTTCATAAATGTGTCTTAAATCCTATCCAAATCCTCGCTAGCATTCCAGGTCTTTGGGTTTTCAGTCCAATCTCAATCTGGAGTGATAATTTTGCACCAAAAGATTTACCAGACAGAGCTATTTAACACCTAGTCAGGTGTTAAGCCTATAAATAGTGTATCTCTTGGCAAGATTTAGACCTTGAGCTGTGAAAAGTCACTGGCTTGTTTTCGCTGTGAGGTCAAGTCTCTTTGAAGGAGTAGACTGTTTAAAGGACACAGAAGTCCCCCTGCAGACTTTGAAAAAACTACAAAACACAAAAAACCTACAAACCCCAAGCCAAAACCCAAACCAAAGAGCTTTCTTAAAAAACCATTTCACTCATTGATGGGAAGTCTCACAGTGGATTGATTTCCTTGTGGGAATAGAGAGTCCCACTGTATTCATCCTCTACTAATGGAGGAACACCTTACTTGTTGAACAGTTTTCCTCCTTTCTGTCTTTATCACCACATTTTCCAGAAATTAGATTCCCTGGGATTAGAATTTTAAAGCCCTTTGACATGAAATCACTTCGGCTGTGCTGTCTTGTTTTCTTACCTTTCACATTCTCTGAGTAGAACAGGGTTGTTTCCTTTTGCCAGACTTTCACCAGCACAGGCACTTCACATCATTTTCTCCCATCTCAATCCAGCCCGTGCTTTGAACTCAGCAGATTAAGTAGCAGTCCTTCCTGTTCAGGTAGGGGTGAGAAAGAAGACACAGTGTGGTTTTGTCTCAGGAGTCTATTTCAAGCCTCTTCAAAGTTGCAGGGAAACCTGCAGATGCATCTAAAAATGTGAAACTCCCACATTTGAAAACTGGTAATTACAAAGAAATCCCAATTTTTTGGAATTCTTCACTGCTGAGATGACCTCCAGATGTGGTAGAGGGGTGCAAGATGAGAGCTGAGATACCAGTGTTCCTAATTAGTCATCTTGAATCAATTCCCACTACTAGACACACTCCCCAGAAGTGAGCTTAGGTTGTTATGCAGAAGTCCTGATTCTTTGTGGATTTTGTAAGATGTAGCCAGTTCCTCAGAGGTCCATGAGAATAATATATCCCACAGGAAGAAATCTGCACATCAGCAGGATTTGGCTCCTACCATGACAACAAAGGACCATTAGGTATATGTGACAGATGGCAGGTGGCACCTCTGTCCACTTTGTGGTCCACTTGCCTTCTGTCCTTTGACCGATTATTTGGCACTTGTTAGGGAGCTCAGGGTAAGGGGAAACACAAGACTGAGCTACAAACAAGAATTCTATGGTCATCCTGTCAGATGACCACAAAAAGAAGCCAGTATGACCTTGAAGCCATGCTATGGGAATATGATAGCACAAAAATCATGATGTTACTAAGCATGTTATTTATGGTTTATAGGATGGTATGTAGGTCAAGTCACACCACCTAAAAATCAAATACTTTGTAGTGAATCCCATCTTCTTGCAAGAATTCCTAAGGGCTCAGACTCACATATAACAGAGGAGAATGTTTCTCCAGTTATTGCTGACCATAAATATAAAATATATCCCCCTCATTTGAACAGGGTAGAAAAAAAATCCCTTTTGTCAAATGAGTGGTGCCAGTGGCAACTGCACAGCCTGGATACCCTCCCTGTTGGAATCTCTCGTGGATATCAAGTGGGTTTCTGGAGGGAGGCCAAGTGCAATCCAGGCCACGGTGATACACAAACACGGTGACTGAAGCCTATTTTTGAGCCATGTTTACAAAATGTTTCTACTGAGGCTGATTTCTATGGTTAAAAGAATACTCACAATATTTTCAGTTAAACTAATCACCCTTATTCATTATTTAGTTGGTATAAATTGAGAAACCATGCCCTTGCTGGGAGAGAAGGAAGTCTCAAAAAGCCTGTCTCCTCATACCATCACCCTGGATCTGATCCATACTCCAGGCCAGCTCCCAGGGAGGCTCCAGTGGTGCCCATCAGGTGTGAGCTGTGTCCGGGTGGAACTACTCCTGGCATTAACTTTTCTGCTCAGCAATGGCTGAGTGCTGATGCCAGAGCTGCTCAATGGTTACCTCAGCACTGACAGTGAGAGAAGGAGATGGTCCTGCCAGCAGGTAGAGCTGCACAGCCCCTTGCAGAGCCTTGGTGCTTGGGGACCAGCTCAGCCTACACTTGTACCTGCCCGGCCCCAGAAGCAGGCTTGGTAAATTTGTGAAGACTCTTCTAGTCACTAAGAAAGCCACTTAGTAACTGGAAGCCATTACAGGCAACAATTGTTCTGCAAGTGAGAGACACAACAGCAGGTCAGCTTTCTGCACTCTTCGTCCAGGTGCTGATGAGTGAGCTTTCCCACTCCAGATGAAGGGCAGCATCTTGTGGAAAAAAAACAGAGGTGGTGCTGCACACCATCCAGGAGAAAAGTCACTTCAGATAGCAGGTGAGCAGGTTGCATGAGGCCAGACAGACTCACAGGAGGAAATGGGGACAGGGACAAAAGCATTAGTGTCATAGAGTAGCTCCAGAAGAAAAAGAGGATCTCCCAGAGGGATTTGTACTGGGCTGAACCCAGTGAGTTGCCCTGCTCACCAAAGCACTCTGGCAAATGCAGTACCATCCAGATCAGCAGTTATGCCAGTGGTAGCAGGAGTACAAACAGCCAGGAACAAGAAGCTCCAAACTGTCTCTCAGCTCTATAAGCAAGCTAGAAACAGACTGGGGAAAGGTCACATAACACCATGTTTCAGTTTCCTCACAAAGAGCAATATTTCTCTCTCTCTCGCTTTTATTCTGAAAATAAAGAGATATATTAAAGAACTGAAATACTGGGGGAAAGGTTTTAGAAAGGGCTACATATCATCAGCAACACATGCACCTATGCATGTGTGGGATGCACATTGCACAAAGCGCAGTCTTACTTGCTGCCAGTCTGCAACATTAACAGCGTTAATGGATTCATCTCCTTTTAGGTGATCTGACAACAGACAGGCTATAAAGCCAAGAGAGGGAGACTTGTACTTCTTGGACGAGATATGTCACAACATGTTCTTCAAAGCCGATTTTTCAGGATTCAGCCCCTGGGAATGTAAACCTGAGGAGCAGAGTATCGTTGGAGAAAGCCATAGAGCATGCAATCTGCTAGGATAAATAAATCCGCTTGGAGACTGCCTAAGTTTAGCTATATATGGACATTTCTAGAAAGTGGGAACTGCCACGGTTTTCCCATTTATATTTCAAGGGTTTTCTCCAGCCTTTTCCAAAACCCTGTATTAAAGTGGCTTAGCAGAATAATCCTATCTTAACAGAGTGATAACAGAGACACAGAGAAGTGCTTGGTCAGAGGAGGAGCCAGTGAAAGGGCCAGTAATAGCATCCAGACAGTTCCCAAGTGTTACTGCTTTGGGTTTAACTCTGAACCTTGCCTCAGATCTCTCAATCTTCAGTTGAAATCCTGGCCCTACTGAGACAGGACAAATTACTCTACCTTGCAAAAAGAAAGAGAGGAGGAAATCAGTTGAGCTTTATGTCTCAAATCTCAGATTGTGGACCTGGTCTGTATCTACTTGCATTTCTTAGCAAGGGCAAGAAATTCTAATGGTAGAACATACTAATAACAATAAATAATCCCAGTACTGGCCAGAACTAGTTAATGGTGTAGAGAAATAGACTCCTTCACTTGTTCTGATCCACCCTGCTTGCATTCCTAGCTACAGCATGTGCCTGCAAGGGACAGCACAGCCCCATGACAATACTATGGTGTCGGGCACAGGCTGAAGACAGCTGAGCTGTAAACTGAAATCCTGTAGATTAGGAGGTTACTTAAGGCAATTAATGGTTTCCTGCAGAGGAATACCCTCTTTTTCCTCGCTAGAATTCACTTCTGAAAAAATTCATATCATACATTTAGTGACACAGACTGAGGAATCTGGAACATTGCCATTTGGAGTTGGAGACCAGACTCAGTGCAAGATGCTTCAAAGAAGGCTCAAAAAAACAAGCTGATGGTGGGTAGTGGTGGAATAACACAACGTGGTGATAAAAAGTGGAAAGCATCCACATGGCACTATTGTAGATGAATGTACTGTTGCTTCAACCCATTAAAATTGCAAACCTCAGCATTAGGATAGCTGGGTTTTTTTAACTACTTCTTCTTCTAATGCTCCTTTTCACTGCTTTTCAATGCATATCCAACTTGGTATAAATAGATATAATTGCTGCATAATAGAAACACACTGGTAATAGAGAATATTGACATGTCACTGGTTGTGCTACAAATCAGTGGGACCAGTGCACATTTTGGTGCTCTCTGATTCAGAGCACCCACTTTGACATTAGTGCAGAACCCTTCATTTTAATTCCTTCTTCTCTGGGAAGAAGAAGGTGTAACAAAATGGACAAATTATTACATACCAGAACACCGTGTGGGTGGAAGAGAGAGAAGAGTTGCATCAGGAGCAGAGGCTCTCCAGGGACAGATGATGTGAGCAGGACTGAGGGAATAAGGAAGGGCAAGATGCAAACCCAGCATCACAGAGCTCATGATACCATGACAGTACTTTTGTACTGGCCAGTAACACACACATTGTGCTATGTTATCACAACATCCATCACTTTGTATGAGAAATTATTCATTACCTGTGAAACACAGGGGCTCTACTGACTTACGCATGGTACCTTACCCAGGATTTCCACTGACATTACAGCATTATCCATTCAGTTTTTCTGCAAGCTGCCAAATCTCTACACTAGGGCAAGCTTGTTAGAAAACACTACCTAATTAGAAAGGAAACATCTGACATTGCTTTGCACCAGGCTGCAGTGAACTAAACCCTTAACTTCTTCCTCACACTCATATAAACAGAAGAGCAGGTTGCTAAAGTTTTGTTTCCTGAGAGTCATGTCATTAGGCACTCCTAAGTGACTCACCAGAAGATGAAGCTGGAGGCACTCATTGCAGGCATCATGAAGTTCTTTCAGATCTAGCATCAAACTCATTGTCTTTTGTCTCAGTCCAAAGGTAGCATCAGTTTTAATAGCTCAAACCACTCCTCAAGACCAGCCCTCCTTGAGTCACAAAGAATTATCCAGATACTAAAGGCCTTGTGTGACAGCAGCTGAGTACCGGTCATGCCCCATGCTTATTGCCAAAGTCAACAAGGAGGAGTACTGGTGCAAAGAATGCTAACCTTTAGGACAGCGAGCAGTGGTAAGAGCTTGCACTGGTGTCTCTGGCAGGTGTGGAGCTGTGTCCAGAACACAGAGTACAGACTCATACATGCTCTCCAAAATGTCCCACCACAGATCCTGCTCCCCTCTCACCTTGTGAATCCTAAGCCACTCCCTGGGTAGCTGCTGAAGAAGGAAGGTCTTGGCATTCCCTCCACCTTGCTCTTGCCCAGGCACTGCCATGACACGTAATTTGGTCTCTCAAGCTGACAACAGGGACCTGAGTAGGCACTTGTGGTGAGAAGTTTGATTCTGGTCCCCCCATACTCTCCAGTGAAGGTGTGGTAATGATGGCTCTTCATCCAAAGCATGAGCCAGTGGGCTGGAAAGGAGTGGGCTGCTCCATGGACTGCACTGAATAATGTTTTCAATGAAAATTTCTTCTGATCACAGAGAGGATGGAAGTAGTACGTTTTCTCCAATTGCACCACAGCCCCATGTCCAGTGATTCCACTGGTAAATGAATAACAATTGCTTCTTTCAGAGAAGTGTGATGTAGCAGTTAATTCATAGAATGGAATGGATTGGAATGAAATGGAATAGGTTGGAAGGGTTGGAAAAGACTTTAAAGATCATCTAGTTTCAACTCTCCCTGTCATGGGCAGGGACAACTTCCACTAGACCAGGTTGCTTAAAGCCCTATCCAATCTGACCTTGAACACTTTCAGCGGTGGGGTGTCCACAGCTTCTCTGGGTAACCTGTTCCAGTGCCTCACCACCCTCACAGGGAAGAATTTCTTGCCTTTAAGTAACTGAATACTGACCTCTTTCATCTTAAAGCCATTACCTCTTGTCCTATTCCTACATGCCCTTGTAAAAAGTGCCTTTTCAGCTCTCCTGTATCCCCCTTTAGGTACTGGAAGGTGCTATAAGGTCTCTCTGGAGCTTTCTCTTCTCTGCCTGAACAACGCCAATACTCTCAACCTGTCTTCATAGGAGGCATGCTGCAGTCCTCTTGATCATCTTTGTGTCCCTCCTTTGGACTTGCTCCAACAGGTCTATGTCCTTCTTATATTGGGACCCCAGAGCTGGATGCAGTAGTCCAGGTAGGGTCTCAAGAAAATGGAGTGCAGAGGGAGTAGCATCTCCTT